AAATAAAAATCAATAACGTGACCTATGACCCCATGAGTACTCTGTTTCCTTCCGGTTGTTCAGCCTTCACTCACGTTCCAGGGACTTTATAGATGCTTCTCTCTGTGCCTGAAACATACCTTCCTTCACCTTCTTCTGGGTAAACTCTCCATCTCTCAGATCCAGCCCTAAAGCCAGTCCTTGTAGGAATATTCCCCAACCTCTTAGACTAATCCTTTGTTCTAGACTCTCATATCTCCCTGAATCTTGTCTTTGCCGTGGTGTTCACTGTGACAGATAACTGGGACATGAAGTCTCTGGGTCACCATCCAATGCCCAGGCACACAGGTGCTGCTCAGTTGAATATGCAACACAGGAATAGTGAATGGAGCTGGTTTGAAGCATCAGCCCTCTCACAAGTTTTGTAAATGCTTGGTACACTGACGACATGAGTAGGTGTTCCCTATTACAACTAATAAGAAAAAAAAAAAAAAGGAAGATTAGCTTTCACTTTAACTCATGTTTGCTTTCAGATAGATGAAGATAAAGGTTAAATGCACTGATTTTTGTAATCATACAAATCCAAGTTCAGAGACTGATTCAGTCACCTACCAGTTGTACAGCATGGGGAAATTACCTAAAATAAATAAATTTATTAAAATATCTGTATTCTGCCTTCCTCATCTGTAAACTGTGTAGAAGTGGGTCTGAAGCCATGATGGACTCGTGATTGTGTAGCTTGGTTTAAATTAACAACCTCTCTAAAGAGAATGAAATCTATAATAAAATCATAGAAAGGATAAGATTATAACTATTTTTAATAAGAGGATTAAGTAAATATGTATGTGTGTGTGTGTGTGTGTGTGTGTGTGTGTGTGTGTGTGTGTATGTGTGTATAATGAATATGCATTTACCTGTAAACACCAGAAAGGGGCTTAATCCATGTAGACAACAAATACAAATTAAAACACTGGTACAAATTATTTTCTATCTATCAGAATGACAAAAATTTTAAAACTGGCTAACGTGTTGTTGGTAGCAGTGTAGACAGAGAGGTATTCATATAAACTCTTGACCAGCATGCAAAGTGGTGAGGTCCGTGAGCATCTATATCAGAATTCAAAATGCACGTAGAGCTTGACCTAGAAATCCCTCCTCTAGAATCTCATTCCACAGGCATAATCACCTATATTTACAGGGATGTATTTATGCATGTGGGTGGCCATGAATGACTGAGATAACACAGCATTAAAAGCAGTACAGTGCCCCATTTGAAAAAACAAAGTACTTGTTAAGTAGTATTACTTATAAAAATATGGACTGCTAAAATGAAATATTATATGGTCATTAAAATGTATTGACACAAGGAATTCTCTCCCAGATATATTATTTGATGAAAAAGATGTAAAGAGCAACACAAAATTATGTTTTTTAAAAAAGATCATTCTTTTTTAAGTATTCGATTGTTTGAATGGCATAAACCACTTTTCTAAAGATTTCAGAGAAATTGGATAGTTGCTTCTAGGGAGAGGACAGGGATCCCAAGGGAGAGATTTGTTTTTCATTTTGTACATCTGTTCATTGTGTGTATATTTAAATTGTTTTTTCATTTTATAAAATTCTCATATGTCTTCACAAATCTGACAGTTTAAAGGTACAAAGAATGCAGATTAAAATTTCTGGCTTCTGCTGTGATCGCTAGTCATTATATTATTATTATTATTATTATTATTATTATTATTTCTTATGTTGGGGATGCCATAGAGATTCTGTGTACTCCAAAATGAAAGAGATGGGTCAGAGAGACAGAGAGGTCACTGTGGGCTCTCCTCAAAGGCAGATGGGGGTGGGGCGCATGAGCATCCAGGTGCTATTTTGATTCCATTTACACTTGGTAGGGCAGCCATGCTCAAATGCACATTTCTAGTAGAAGTCCAGGTACACCCTGTCCAGGGTACCAGCTACTTTTTTGTTCCGAGGCAACTTATGGAAGGAAGAGCATATTTTCGCTTGGCATTTGGGGTGGGGGTGGCGAGAGCCTGTCATGGAGGGCAGGCATGGGCCCTGAGCAGGGAGCTGAGAGTCCACCTCTTCAATCACAAACAGGAAGTTAGCTGGAAGTGGGATAAAGCTATAAACTTTCAAAGCCCACACTTGTAAGGTTCTGAGTCCTAAAGATCCCATGACCATCCCTGGGGCTGGAGAGACAGCTCAGTGGTTAAGAGCACTGGCTGTTCTTACAGATGACCCAGGTTCAAATCCCAGCAGCCACATGGCAGCTAACAGCTATCTGGAACTCCAGTTCCAGGGGATCTGATGCCCTCTTCTGACATCTGTAGACACTGCATGACATGGGTGCACCTACCTACATGCAGACAATACATGCATATACATACAAATAAAATAAATAACTAGGTAGACAGATCAAATATTTTTTTGAAAAATCCCATGACTTCCCACAGCACCACCACCTGGTCATAGTGTTCAAGTCCTTGGGCCAATGGGGGATATTTCTCATTCAAACCACCACAGCTGTGATTGCATTTGAAGCTTTGCTTGGTGATTTCCAGAAGCTTCTTTATCAACTTCATTGTTGTCTGTGGAGGAAAGACTGCGAAGGGAATGCAGACTGGGAGCACTCCTGGTGGTGCCCAGGGCTCGGGAAGGCGCTCAGCTCCAGGCCTGCAGGAGAAGCAAGCACCATTTCACGGCAAGAACCCTCTTACTTGGTTGCATCTAGCAATTTAGGACTTCTGTTAGCTCTAGCTCTCTGTCCCAGGGAACATGTTCTGGGTGTTTCTTGAAAATGACTGGAAGTCAAGGCCGTACCCAAATGCAAATATCTCAAAATTCTTGAAGGACCCTCTTAGTAATGCCATGTCCCCATTCTAGAATACTCTGAAGTCTAGGAACACAGGAAAGGATGTAGGTAGCAATTAATTAGGCTTCCTAAGTAGGGATGATGGTTGGCACACACCTATTTTCATTTTGGAATTATATTTTCATAAGGGTATTTAAAGACTTGAGGGTTTTTTTCTTCTTCAGCTATTCCAGTGCAATATAATGGTTAATTCTGGGAGCTCTGTGAGTTTGATTTGTATTTAAGATTTTTACAATCTATATATAGGCTGGTCTTTAATAACCATTTATACATTGCTTCTTTTTATATAGGGCATGGGTTCTCCTGGGACCGTAACAAGATTAGAAACAGCAAATACAGTACAGAATAAATTAAAATGCTTCAAACTGCATTATATAATTGCAGAAAATTGGTTTCACACTGAAACATTTAAATAAGAAAACCAAATGAGTTAAATAAGGAAAAAAAAAAAAAAGGTAGTGTATGTGTCGTCACTGTGAGTTTTATCCTGGCTTGAGCCCCTTTATCTTTCCAGTGTAGCAAGATGACAGTCCATTTGGGTCAATAATGGGTACAACTGCTTTTCTTTTTCCACATTTTTCGTTAATTGAAAAAGTTGACTTCATTCCCATAGAAGATGAAAAGCATTTATTCGGCAAAATGTCAAAGGACCATCCTAAAAGTAACTGAATTTTTTATATAATTCACCAAACTCTTGTCTGGTTACATTTGGCAAAACAAATTCAGAGACTGTTGGAGATGGGGGATGGCAAGACAGGGCACAGAGCTTTTCTAATTAGGATCATGAACAGGGCTTTGCATTTCCTTTCGCAGCTAAATGGAGGCGACACGGCTCTCCAGACAATTTGTTACTCGGGCCCGTTTTGTTTGTTTCTGTGTTCAAGTTCAGCCTCACTTCTCTCACAAGGAGTCCTCAGGCCTTTTCAGTTTTTCTATTCGCGCATTAAAGGCCTCTTCCTGTACCTGCAGCTTTTCGTTTATCTCGGTCTGCGAAGACAATCATAAAAAAGTGGTTATGACGGAGTTATCTCGGGCTCCACACTGTCTTTGTGGTTTTGACGTACTACAGTGCCTAAAGACAGACATTATCCCGCACACACCTTCCTGTTCTGCAGACAGAGCTGTGTTCCAGCCTGTAGCGATGTGATAACACTTTATCATATTTCTCTGCTCATTCCCAATGTATGGCATGTCTGCTATGGACAGGAAGTGGTATTTGGACAGCCATTTTTCACATAGCCTTGTGTTGGAAGATAGGATAATCTATCTGCATTTTCAGCCAGACTTTACCAATGAGCACCACGTCAGAAGAACTGCTCTGGGCTCTGTTACTGCGCCTCCCTCCTCTCCTTTGTTTTTACCTTCCCTCCAATGCATTCTAAATGGGATCCCGGGAAGCTTCTGTTGGCGAAATAATAACACAAATAATCTCACAATTAGAACAATTCTCGTAATTAAGAGTATTCATCATGCATTAGAAGTCTTGGAACAGGGCCACTTTGTGATATATTTTTGGTAGAATTAAAAAAATAATCAGCAATTGCTGAAAGGTTACCGAGGTCTCCGCAGCTGTGATAAGCATTTAGCCTCTGGGTGATATTCTGCAGACTAACATCGCTACCTGCCCAGTTCCAGAAATACTTACACATGATCTCAATACAAGGAGCTCCTTTCATCAAGATGAATGATAAAAACTAGAGAAAGGATGGCAAAAGGTTCTCTGCTGTTATTGTGTGAGTGACTTAGTGACATGCACTTAGTGAAGATGTTCACGCACATATGTGTTAAGGCGTTCAAAGTCTAGGATATTCATAACATAATTTGAGGTCTTCAGAGTAATTACAATTCTGAGAAAATTTTATTAATTAATTGAAATAGAAATTTAAAAATATCACTTCTGCTTCAGGACCAGAAATAATTTCTATATTTTAATAAATTAGTTAAAACATTTTTAAAGGGTTTATTTTTATTTTATGTGTATGTGCTCTGCCTGCATCTATGTATATGCACCATGTATGTGCTTGTTGCCCATGGAAGCCAAAAGAGGGTGACAGATCCCTCGGAACTAGAGTTACAGATGATTGTGAGCTGTCAGATGTGGGTACTGGGAACTGAACCTAGGTCTTCTATGTGAACAGTAAGTGCTCTTAACCACCAAAGCATCACTCCAGCCCCTCCCTATTTATTTAATTTTAAGAGGGTAAATATAGTACATGGTTTTGGAATGTTGTCCCTAGTTGCTATTTTTTTTTTTTTTTTTTTTAATGAGATTTTGTTTGTTTCTTCACAGAGAAGAGTTGATATTCCTGATAGGAACATATTAGTGTCAACCATTCTGATTCAGAATTTATAGGTGTATTGAGTTTTGTGTGTGTGGTAGTGGTGTTCAAGCCCCCTGCCCTGTTACACCCCCCCTTGGATCAACTTTTGACTTCTGGTTTCTTCCTGGTCACCGGATGGAGGAGGCCCTGGAAGGAGCAAAATGGTCCTCCAAGCTACAAAGGTGGTGTCGCTCTTCACGGATGCCGTCCTGCAGGGCATCCTGCAGAAAGCAACCTGGTCTAGTCTCACTGTGAACTAGTCTCAACCCTGTGCCCTAGTCTCACTGTGTAGTTTTGGGCAAGTCACTGAACCACTTTGAATTAGACTTTATATGAAAAAAAATCAAGTAAGAAAATAGGGTTTTGCTCACACTGTACCTAAATTTATGTTTATAATCCCATCTCTCAATTTCATGATATTCTTCACCAATGGCATATTTCATTATATATAATCATGAAACATTTCAAAACTTGTTAGTGCTACTTGAGTAAAATAATTTATGGCATACAACCTATTGAACAATATAGGTATTGAAATGGTCTGAAAAACTAATTTTGGCACACTTCCAATGGATTGGCAAGAACTGTTCTTCCCAGACAATCAGCTCTTTCAGTAATGTTTTTCTATGTCCACTAATACACTCGTGCTTTCTAGCTAAGGGCAGCTGGACTGTCCAGCTCCTCAGACCTTGGTGATTGGTGCTCTCGTTTAGGCACAACCAGCAGAGCCTGGATCAAAACACTCCATGTCTGCACGGGCTGTCTTTGATCTGCTGCCTCCTGGTTATTCCCCAGAACACTGCTGAACTGACAAGTTATCCTCAACCACTGGGCTGGGACTGACCTCCGTTTAGTTGGTCTTACTACCTGGAGGTGATTTTTCTCAATGTTTCTAACTTGGACAGTTCAAAGTTGACCTAAAGATATGCTAAAACCCCAGATGGTGAACTTCATTTTCTCACAGTATTTTGCTATGTTAGGGCCAACAGCCAACATTTAATGCAAGAATTCAGCATTTGCAATCACATTTCTCTGAAATGTAATTCCTTAAATATATTGAAGTTTGCTCCATTGGGGTGTAATTTTTATTACACAACTCAGGACCAAAATAATTTCATTTTGAATGTATCTTTAAAATGAAAATACCTAAACTATATTGGCTTGAAATGTTTGCTGTGTTTAGAATCATTTTAATTGACATATGAGGATCAAGATAACTTCATTTTTAATAAATATCCAAAACTGCAATGTGAATCATGGGAAAGTAAGTGGATTAACATGAAAAATTATGAATTCACACTACAGGAAATTCTGTAGTAGAGAAGCAGCTTTGGGGAAAAATGTACTAAAACATGAATTCTCTATTGACTTTTTCTGAGAAAATTACAATTACTATGATTCAGATGAAGAAGAGAGAGTTATGGGAAAATCTGAAACACTGCCAGCGAAACTCATGAACGGTTGGTACAGCAGGTGTTTTCACCAGGCACGTGTACAGCAACTGTGGACACTGACATGCAGCTCTCTCTGAAAAGGAATGTGGCAGCCAGGATCCTTGAATGCTGGGTTTTAGGAGTGGAAAATAACTCAGCCAATCTGAAACTGAAGGAGAAATTTAGGTAAGGCAGAGGGTAATTATGAAACTTGGAATTTATCCAAGACGCAAAGGTAGGCATTGAGAAAGTACGCTCCCACAAGTGTATTAAAATCCGAAGTAGCCTGGTTATGATATTAGATTTGTGGTTTCTGTGGATAGCGTTGGAATTGGAACTAGAACCAAGTTCCCAGCTTCACCTCAGGGCTTCTGATCAGGGGAAACTGTAGACAAATGATTCCATCCATCCATGTCCATTTCTCAGTGGAAGGACCCTCTTCACTTGCATGGAGTTTAGTTGGATTCTAAGACACAATATAGGAAGTGGTTTGCTACCTCAAGACACTGTGGAATCTCCTATCATTTTGCCATTTTGTTGAAAAATCAGCAGTAATTTGGTCCAGGCTGATGTCCATAGACCCACCAGGCAAGGGAGTGGTATGGTACCTACAGGGTCTGAATCGCTCTCCTCTGGTTGAAGGCCTCTCTGTGCCTAATGACATTTAGGTGCAGAAGCTAATGAACTACCACGATGGCTTGGGGCTAACAGGAAGATAGCACACACACACACAGCAATTCTGTTCTTTCTGTGAGAGAAGAGGGCTACAAACACTGTAGCGTCTAATATATATATATATATATATATTTTTTTTTAAATCAGTGACTAGTTAGAAACATACGGTTCACTACATGGAACATGGCCTTGGTAAAGATGGTTTCAATTGTGGGGCCTGCAAACAATTCTCTTGCTGTCTAGTAGTTCCTCGGCAATAATTTCAGAGCCACAGGATTGCAAAGGAGCCCTGGGCCATGATTATACATAAACTATATTTAGATGAAATGTTATCAAATCTAAAAAGGAGATACGTTCTGAACTCAGCTTAATTCAGCTGCACTCTGCCCTTCTACACACTAACCAGTTATTATATTCACAGGGTCGTTAACAATAACCCTTTGTGTAAAACGTGTTCTTCCACAATTTCTGGTAAACACTAAACACCCTTTATTAAGCTGAGGACTTTGGCTGATTCTGTTGGCACCAGATCATTGAATGCTCGTGTAAATAGTGCAGTAGCATTTGATGATTAAACAGCTAGCAAGGTAAGTGTAGGCCAAGCTATGCTTGCCCTCTTTCTAAAGGAATTGTTAATGCAGTGCGCCTTACATATATGGTCCTACGTCCAGATAACAACTACATCTTCCCCTCAGACACATTAGTGTTGTCATACTGATTTATGGTCACTTCTAAGAAATTGCAGATTTGCTCAAAATATGCAATTCACTTTATTAAGTGTTCAGCTTAGAAAATTATGTGGATTCCTATAAGTCTTTCTGTTGAGGTAGCAGTGGGCATCGGTTTCTGGGACAGAAGTAGGAAACATTAAACAGAAGGCTAACTACCTGAGCCGTCCCTGGTACCCGCAACGGAGGTGGTGTCTACCACACTTTCACGCAACGCTGGGCTAAATGGCTTCGTTATTATTTGTATATGAAAAATGAACAAATATCTGAGAAGAATTTCAAACTTGAAATGTGGCAAGATGACTAAGAATTATGATTCAGTCTTCAGCGTCCACTGTTTCAAAGTATATGTCAATTATTCTTGCGCAAGCCATATTTACAGTGTTACCGGGCTCAAAGTCTTCATGCTGTTTTTTCTGGGGCTTTGGTGCTGACTGATCATGCAAACTGATAACACACAGCACATGAGGTGCTGCTGGCAAATCTGCATCCTGATCTTATTGCCTCCAGAAAACTCAGTGGAGGATTTCGTGGTTGTGTAGAAGACAGTGCAAGGACCCAAGGACTGGGCTGTTGCTATAGTCTGCTCAAAGGGGCCCGTGCTGGATAGCTTTAGTGTCAACTTGACACACCTGGGTGGAAGGAGCCTCAATTGGGGAATTGCTTCCATTGGACTGACCTATGGCCATGTCTGTGGGCATCTTCTTGATTATTGAATGATGTGGGTGGGCCCAGCCCAATGTGGATGGTGCCACCCCTGGGCAGGTGGGCTGGTGTTGTATAAGAAAGCAGGTTGAGGGGCTGGAGAGATGGCTCAGCAGTTAAGAGCACTGACTGTTCTTGCAAAGGATCCAGGTTTGATTCCCAGTACCCACATGGCTATGAACTGCCCTTAATTCCAGTTCCAGGGGAATCTGAAGGCCTCTTCTGATCTCTGTGGCATTGCACGACATGGGTGCAGTCACATACATGCAGGCAATACACTCATATACATAAAATAATAATAAAATATATTTAAGAAGAAAGCAGGCTGAGCAAGGGCTAGGGGAGCAAGCCCGTAAGCAGTGTTCCTCCGTGGCCTGTGCTCCAGCTCCTGCCTCCAAGTTCCTGCCCTGTGTTCCTACCTTGGGCTCTCTGATGAACTGTGAACCCAGGAGATGTAAGCTGAATAAACCCTTTCCTCCCCAGCTTGGTATTGGTCAGAGTGTTTTGTCACAGCAATGGAGAAACTAACTAGAACAGGGACCATTTTCATAGAAGTCAAGTCTGAGGCTGGCAATTTCAGCAAGTACAAAGGGAGTTCACTGTAAATGCTGGGTACCTGAATGTTCACTAAAACCTCATCTGTGACACGAGCCAGTACTGCTTTTACATCTTCAATGGTGAAACCAACTAAAGGGTCCACATCTGTGGTGTCTCTCTCTGGCTGGGTCTCCTGAGAGCCTTGTTCCTGATCCAGTCCCTAAAACATAGGATGTAAACACATTCACATATTGTAAGTAAACAACATTCAATGGAGTACATGGGGGTTTATAGGCAGCCTCAAACTCCTTCTGTATACGATCATACCAGGAACAATGTCAGACTGGAAGCAGATTCTGATTTTACATCTGCCTGCTTTCATTCCCCTTGAGGATTAGGAGATCTCACGTCTTAATTTCACAGCACTCTGGGGAATGTAAAGGTGGAGACTTGGAAGTATAGACTGGAAGAGATTATAACTCCTAATCACCACCAGCTGACCTGTGTATGTAGCAACACTGAAAGGATTGGCTGCAAAAAAGTCAGAGGCAAAGATGATGGAAGAACACTGGGTTCTTTCCTTCATCCCCAAAATGCTTAGGCAGAGTGGATGAAAAGACACTAGGAAACCTACCTTTGGTTCAGCATCCAGAGTTGGCTGTGGTTCTGTGTATGCGGAGTAGATATCCAGTGAGATTCCTTCCTCCAGCGGGGCTGGGAAAGGGTGGTCTGCAGGCTTGACAACCTCTATGGTTTGCTGCAGAGAAAGAGGAAAGCTTTTGCTGAGTGACCACAATCTTAGCCAGTTCCCTTACCAAGTGGTGTGTGTCCAAGCCCGGTGTCTTATTTAAGCACTGTCTTCTCTGACTCCTGATGCCATTGCTCTTGGTCACCTAGTACATTTTGAGCACTATCTTTGCAATTAGAATTTTTTCTTATTTTATACTTTGTGGTTGGGGATTCATTTCAACACATTAATTTGTGTCATTCCTCAGCCCTTCACTCTTGTCTGCAAGCTCTTTGAAGGGACAGAGCCAAGCTCCAGACCCCCAAGAACTCACACAAAAAGCCAGGTGTGGTGGCATGTGCTTGCAAAGCCCAGCACCAGAAAGGCGGAGGCAGGAGGATCCCTGGCAAGTCAGCTGCGTGTACTTGGTGAGTTCCCAATCAGTAAGAGACCCTGTCTCAAATAAGAAGAGGTGGATGGTACCCAAGGAACGAACAACACCCAAAGTTGATCTCTGACACCTAAATGCAGCCATACACACACACACACACACACACACACACACACACACACACACGGTCAGGGGGGACTCTGATTGTTAATACATTGGTAAAGCCAGTGCACTGGGGGTTGGAGGGAATTACTGAAAGCACAGAGGGCAGAGTGAGACTTGATGTAGGCATCTGACAATTCTTTGTCAAGAGGATGTAAACCCAACGAAGGAAGAAGTTGAAGGACGAGGAGAGCAATGGACTCCAGTGTTGGCAGGGTCCATCTAGCCACCATTCCGGGGAGTGAGAGAAGAGACCAGGGTACCAGCAGCAGTAGACCCCTGAATCATTTAATTAGTTCCTCTTGTTCTAACTTCATGTTTAACAAGCAATATTTTGACTGCAATTTAATTTCCCATCTCAGTTGGTCTGTAAAGACATGCCCACTTGCGTGTTCTGGTGTCTATGTCTTTTACATACCTCACTATAAATCAATAACTTGTTCTCTCTTACACAGCAAACTCTCATGAGTTGTCACTGAAGCTCTGAGATGAAGTCACTCACTGTTTGCTGACAGATACACATTCTGAGCCCACAAGTTTGAAGACACAACTCTGGGAATGCGTAGGTTCCTCAGTTACCATCTTAAGACGCCTGCGAAAAAAACTGACAAAAGAACCAGCCCACCATTTCTGCTTTCTCCCTGTCACACCCCATCGTGGGCACATTAATATTCTTCCCTTAGCTGGGCTTTGGGGGACGCTGAATGCTGAGTTTTCTTGATTTGACCTATGCATATGCATTTTGAACTCAATTTCTATAATTGTTTTCTGCTTGAGCTTATAGGATGTTGAGATTAGGTGTAAATCTATAGAGGCGAGGAGATTTGGCAATGGGGAAGTGAAATGATTGGCCGAAGGTCAAATAATTACTTAGTGACAGCCTGGTGTGCTGACTTCTTAGCCTCTGAAATTTTCAGTAAACTATAATATGTCATGAAGTGGCCATACTGGGAAATTATTGATATTGTTAAGCATTTAATTATTCTTCTGTTCGATGACATCATTCCAGGCTGTTTATCTTAAGTAGATTAAATGCTAATCAGAAGAGAGCATTGAGAAAACATCAGGACAGTGTGTTCCGATCCTCATACATTGGTGAAGTATTTTTTGCTGAGTGGGGCATAGAGGCACTTTGTCTTCTCACGGGGCCCCTTGTGTCCCTTCCCACCACTCTTGACCTGCAGACTCCCACATCTTCTAGTAGCGCTTCACTTTCCCAAGCAAAGGAAAGCAGAAGGTGACTTGAGTTTCAGTGTCCTCAGAAACATTATAGGTAAAATAAAGGTGCTGTGGAAATCGGAGACAAGTTGTTGGAGGTTAACTTGGTGCTGGCTTTAATATACGCTGGGAACCAGAGTGCGCTGCAGGGTGCGTGTCGGGGGAGAAGCGGGACTTGGAGTCGACTGGATTGACAGCAGGCAGGGGAAAGTGAGCATGTGCTGGTGGGTGGGGGAAGCGCTTTCCTCTTAGATGAAGGAGAATGGTGGCTTGTCCCTTGTCACCACACTCCTGTTACAGCCATTCTTCCCTGCGCACAGAGTGGGCCTTCCTGTTATTTTGCTTTATTTACAGAGCGCCCCTCCGTGTGGTGACAGCATAGTCTACCAGCTGCCCTCTGGAGCCCACGTCGTCATCGTATTAGTATTATCTACCTGAACGCAAACAGACGTTGGTGTCTGTTTTATCCTTCACATCCCTGTGGTTTGATTTCTTTCATTTTTAAACAATGTATTTGTGTGTGTGTGTGTGTGTGTGTGTGTGTGTGTCTGTCTGTCTGTCTGTCTGTCTGTCTTGTGTATATGCTGTTTGTGTGGATGCACTCAGAGACCAGAAGAGGGCATCAAATTCCCTAGACCTAGACCTAGAGTTAGAGTTACAGGGGTTTATGAGCTGCCTGACATGGATGATGGGGACCCAAATCAGGTCCTCTAGAAGAGCAAGTGCTTGTTAACAGCTGAACCACCTCTCCAGCCTCTCTCTTCCCTCCTCCCCTCCTCCCCTCCATCCCTCTCTCCCT